CTCTCTCTCTCTCTCTCTCTCTCTCTCTCTCTCTCTCTCTCTCTCTCTCTCACTCACCTCAGCAACTCTTTCTAATCTGTTTTTACTCTCCCTCTCTTGCATTTACGTTTCTTTTCTCAATACTACTAATACTACTATGTTCTCTTTCCTTTCAATTTTTCAACTCCTTTCTTCATATATGCTGAATTCTCAAAATCTCGAGAATCTACACGATACTAGACCCTAGACTTGGACCAGGAGCGTTTCAGTTAGTGCGCATCAGGATGTGTAGTTAGTTAGATTTATGTATTCAGATATCTCAGAAATCCTAAGCAACACGACTTGTAAAATACGTTTACTTTTATCTTTCTACATTACGGTACCGTGTGTTAGCAAGGACAATGAATGATGGACTTACATAAACTTCAACGTTGGTTTTCTTCTTCCCTCTTCTCTTGTTTTTCCGGAGCTGCACTCCTGGCCGTTGTTGGGAGTTTTTTTAAGGCGCACCCCCCCCCCCAAACCACCCACCCACACCAAAATAAACACCACCACAAACACTAATAATTTATTTTAAATTTGTTTTACTACGAAGATTGGAAAAAAAAACTACTCTGAAATACAGACATACATGCACGGATTGGCACTATATTTCCGTTCCAAAGGGTTCGACGATGATACTGAGCATTACTATTCTTATAAATTATTATTTTTTTCCCTTGACAATAACTTGTTTTGGTTAAAATCACATTTTCGTCTTGAGGTATGTTGAATTGGTGATTAGAATCAAGAGAAGAGGGCTATGTTTCTCTCCTGAGACTGAGACCTAAACGGTCCTAGTCCTAGTCAACCCTAGCTCTATCCTTTCTGGCTATACCACGATTCAGCGCTACTAGTTTGGTTACAATACAATGTAGACTAGTTTCTCGTCTAGTAAATGTATATATAACACTTGTTGAGGACCATAAACTCGCTATGGTTTTTCAAAGAAAGACAGACCAAAGTATTTTAAGCATACCCTTTGGCCTTGGCATTTCTCCAGCTTCTAAAAAATACGAAAGATAACCCCAGACATTGTCATTGGTGAATATTTCGAAGCAAAAGTACCACTACCAGGCTTTACGAAGTGAAAATAGATCTAAATCTTAACGGGCATCCGAACAAAATAAAACTTTAAACGCAAGACACGAAACATTATAATAGAGGCCACCAGATCGACTTAGAGAAATATCAATATCCTAAGGCAGGCAGAAACTAGAAGATTCTGTTACTGTTTCTCAAAAGCATTGCCAGTTGAAGTTGGATTTACCTTTTCCCCTTTCTTACTCAAGAAAAATAGCAATGACTGAAAGTGAAAGGATGGTGTTTTTCAGGTATTTTGTATCGATCGAGCAAATTGTCAGCTATTCAAGCGTGACTAGTGCCAAATCGTGGTGTTCACTTCGTCCTCTCACTTTCACGTTGCTGTTAAGTAAATGTTATTATTAAATATTTTATGTCGAAGTCGATCAATTTTTAAAAAATAACATCAGGAAAACAAGCAGTCAAGTAGGCCTACACGTAGCCTACTTGCAATGATAATGATACAGACTAAGTTCAATGTCTACATCATCTCAGCAAAACATAATAATAAAATGGTCGAAATTGCCTTACTTAGACAATCATGATCCATTGTCAAGAAGAAAAGTTATTGTCTTAGACAGGTGGGCGTATTGGACAGTGTCATCATGACATGTATACACGATGTATTAATATAATTTATTTTATAAATGTAATACAGCACAAGGAGAAAGTGGGAAGTTGTGGTTTGTACAAGGTGACTGTCTTGGACAGGTGACCGTTAGAGCAGGTTGGACTGCAGTCCCGAGAGGGCAGTAATGAGGCGAGGGAGAAGCTCGCCCCAGGGCAGGGACGAAAGAAAAGGACGGAACCCAGTGACGTCACGGAAAAACAGGGGCCAATCGGGGTCATTCGTGGCTCCACATAGACAGCCCACAGACAGTAAGGAAAATTCACTTAATATAATATATATATATTATATATATATATATATATATATATATATATATATATATATATATATATATATATATATATATATATATATATATAATATATATATATATATATGTATATGTGTGTGTGTGTGTGTGTGTGTGTGTGTGTGTGTGTGTGTGTGTGTGTGTGTGTGTGTGTGTGTGTGTGTGTGTGTGTGTGTGTGTGTGTGTGTGTATAATTCATATTATTATGCTTTTGTTTTAAATTCATTTTTTATTCATTTTTGTTTCTTTTAGTATGTTCTGCGTCATTGACAGTCGCGACCCTTGAGTAGATTGTTAAACGAAGCATCTTGTCTTTTTCCAGGAAACTGTCGGCAAATCCGAAGGTTCAGGCTGCTCATAGCATAGTTGCACTTGTGAAGACACCGTAGACCTAGAACTAGAAATAAATAGTGGCACCGGCGTCTGTGGTCTAGTATTTAAACCCTCAGACTCGCAACCGTAAGGTCGTGGGTTCAAATTCCGACGGGAGCCCGACGTTGTGTCCTTGGGAAAGGCACTTCACACGAATTTTCCACACTTCACCCTGGTGGGAATGGGTACCCAGCTATAGACAATGAAGGATCTTGTCAGCTTGTTAGTGTTTGAGCAGGGGGATAGCCCCCTTGTGCTAAAAAAATAAAAGAGACCATAAATTGATTGAGGTCGGGCCTCAAGGACGGCGTGTGTCATGTGTGGTCCCCATTAGTCAGACTCAGAGCTTCCACGTACATTTCTCATCCAGGAAAAAAAAGTGTAGCTGTCGCACGCACGAGACTTGAGTTTTGTCTCGAGTGAGGATTACTTCTTACTTAATGACTTAATGTCTACCTTGCTTTTTTCTACTAGGAGGATGTTGTTGTATACCTCTCAGCCCGGGTTGACTCTGACAGGCAGGGTAGAAGGAAGTCTGCTTCCTAAATTATGATCTAAACTGGGGACGTAAAAACATCCACATAAAAAATAGACTTAAAAAAAAAGAATTATAGCTGTTTATAATCAAAGCCGAAATTTCTCAGAAATCCCGATTCGTAAATGAAGAATCTCAGATCAGTAGAAACTGCAAATACAAATCTTTATAATTTTAACAATTAACAGACAGAAAACATATTCTTGTATTTGTATCAATATTTATAGTCTGTTCATTTCACTTTTGAGTTTAATGAGACCACACTAAAATAATTACGGTTTTAAAATATAAGTTTAGTTTGTTTGTTTGTTTGTTAGAGGGGATGGGGTGTGGGGAGGAAAAAAACAAATAACAACAACAAAAAACAGAAGAGGGAGTCTTTTAAAGAGCCCTATTTCGGGTTGGGTTTTTTTTTAAATCTTATCTTGCTCAGGAAGACAATTTTAGATTGTCTAAATGAATATTGCCAAAACTAATACTAGCAGCAGTTTCGTTTGAGTTTATACAAATATATATATATATATATATATATATATATATACAAATATATATATATATATATATTTATATATATATATTATATATTCCTTTTGATACATGAAAGGCTATTCAGAGTTGGGAACTCTGAAACAAATGATTGTACATTCTTTGTCAAAGGTTTACTCGAGGTCTCAATTCGGAATTTACTTGAGACCTACTTTGTACACATTCTTATACGGGGTGCCCACTACGGATGGGATCAGCCCGACTCGATCGCCTCAAAAACAGATCGAGTCGGGCGATCGGGCCGATCCAACAATAGTGGGCACCCCGTATAAGATCTCTCCTCTCTGTGGGTCCAGCATGGCGGTAACCGTGACGCATGGGAATGAGCGAATGACATTTGGGCTTATTTTAACAGAGGAGACCAACTTTTCTTTAGTAGACCGTGGCCCATTCTTTTCTATTGCGAGGTTTTGTGATAGTAATATACATTGTACAACTTTACGTTTGTGTTAGCGTTACTTCTGAAGAGCTAGATCTACCTTCCTTTTTCCTTGGCACTATGACTCCAAAGTGTTGTGAGTAGATTTTGAAGAAGTTTTCTTTTTTTCTTTTTTTCCTTACCCTTGATTCAGATGGCCAGAATGCAAGCAGTACTAGGAGGAACAGCGGTGCTGCTAAAAATGCTGACGATACAAAAGAGACTCAGTCTACTAGGGGATCATTGGACGGAGAGACAGAGCAACACCCTCAGGAGACCACAGAAGAAGTGATGAAAGAGAACGAAGAGTTGGGTTCAGAGCAAGACAATTCTTCCGAAAGTACCCAAGGATTTGATGAACAAAACTCATTTGAATATGGCGATGATAACTTTGACCCGGCTTACTATGCAGATGGCGTAGCTCCTGAAGAGGGTGAACACGGGGAGGACCCCTGGTACGGGACGCAAGATTATTACGACCCAAACTATCCGTCTACGTCAACAGCGGGAGAAGACATGACCCAAGGATACACGCAGGGAGAGGAAGCTCCACCTTACTCGGATGAGACCCATGAGCTAGAGCCAGGAGGAGATGAGGATGTGGGGAACGGTAACAACACGCTTTACCCTGATGGTGGCAGTGATGAGAGATATGAAGAAGAGAGTTTATACCCTGCCCCTGCCCTGCCACATTCTGCTCCGGCTCACGATGAAAGATTAGAAGGAGAAAGAGGAGGAGATGAAGGAGAAGGATGGGGAAAAGAAGAATTGGGTGAGAACAGAGGCGATTCTTTTGAGAGTCTAGATGTGAAAGAAGAAGGGTCTGAGAGTGGCCTTGGCAAACTCGCCTCTATGGAACATGCAGACTCATTGGTCCGACTGAGGACATCTTCCTCCTATCGATTCTCTCACTCTCATCGAGGTAAAGAAATAACTGTTTCATATTTCATTTCAGTGTTATTACCTCTTCATCCCCAGTTTATTTTGAAAACAACTTTAGGCAGTTTAATGTATGTAAGTTGTAAGACAATGAACACATTTCCTCGCCAAATTTCAGAAAAAAATTTGAGACAATTGCAATGACAAGTATAGCATAATCGATTAATTCAATTGATTCAAGGGTTCCATCAGTAGCATACGACACATTTCATGTCACACGGTAATACAAACAATGCAGCAACATGAGTGTTGGACACCATAATGCAAACCTTTTGTTTGTTTTTATTTTATTCGAAGCTAGGGTTAACAGTTTTTCATCAAGCCAAAGACATGCCCTAAGGCCATCATGATAACTGTTTACTGGTATGGCGTCAGACAATTTTTCTTTCAAGACCGCTCGTAGCGAGGCCCTGCGTACTGGTTTCCAATATCTGCACAGCTGCGACTTTGTTCAACAAACCTAACACCCTTCTTTTTTTGCAAGACAAGACAAATAAAGATAGATAGACTTTATTGATCCGTCAGAAAAATTATGGGAGTATACCAGAATATCAACAATATCAACATACACAGATTTTGCATCAACACAGAAATACGCTCATTATAAGACAAGTGAACCAAAAATTTATGTCCATGCGCATGAAGAATGAAGTCCCCCCCCCCCCCTTTTATCTCTCTCTCTCTCTTTCTCTCTCTCTCTCTCTCTCTCTCACTCTCTCTCTCTCTCTCTCTCTCTCTCTTTCTCTCGCTCTCCCTTTCTCTCACTCTCTCACACACACATACACACACACAGAAACACACACACACACAAACACATAAACTCACAGTCCTCTCTCTTTCTCTTCCGTACTCACCGGGCACACACATCAAGCATAATCATGTACGAAAAGACCATTCTATATCCTGTCCTATTGACCTTTGGTACATGTATAGTTCTCCTTAACTGACAGACTAGTGGACAGAGGAGTTCTTATTCTGTTTTTGAAGCAGACAGAACTTCTGCTTCATAAAGAGGCTGTTCATTATCTTCTATTATTGACGAAGAGAAGCACTGGAATACATAGTGTATGTCTTGAAGCTTGGGGACTGTATGTTCTGACAGGGACATGGTGGACGGAAGAGCAAATTGTTGGACTCCGTTCTCTGGGTTGCTGGCGGTTGCTCTGGTGTGGTTTGCCTACCTTTATTATATTTCCTCTTTTTTTTCTTTGCATGTAACTCTCTTATAACGCCTCTAATCTTCGGCACTTATATAACCTATTTGTGTTGAAGTCGGCAAAATTCTTATTAAAACTAACAAGCAAAACTGTACTTTATCGACTGCCTTTTCTTCCTCCAGGCCTGAACTCTTCAACAAGCCTGAAACACCAAAGTCAGTGTAAGGACGTGGCTGTGCAGGTCCAGCTCTTGGGTGACACAGACCTGAAAGAGGGGAAATCCAGCGAAGAGTGTGAGTGAATTGATTTGAGGTCTGGGCCATCAGCTGATGCTCTCGATTACAAGTACTTTTAGCCTCAACTTACTATACACAAACCAGGTAATACGGGTAGTTGGAGGACATCTCTCGTAAAACTTCTGATGTTTTGCCTTCCTTTTGTTGTTTGTGTCTCTTTGTCCATCTGTTTTAAGCTTTGCCTAAACACTAATTGTAGTAATAGTATTAATTCACTAAATAACATTACCTTAATTGTACCAATGCGCTTCTCTTCACTCAAAGAACATACGTTTGAATCCTTCAGTTACAACAAGTGCCTGAATAGAGTTTGAACGAGCGGCTTTGCTCTTTCGTTTGGTGGCTCTGGAATACTATTACTGCATCCCAGCAGGAAAACGGATTCCTGAACACTGAATGCATTCGAGAAAACGTACTGAATTACTATTGTTCGATCGGGAATCACACGTGTCTTTAGTGTGCTTCGTCTCCGCATAGACCTGTTGTGTGTGTGTGTGTGTGTGTGTGTGTGTGTGAGTGTGTGTGTGTGAGTGTGTGTATGTGTGTGTGTGTGTGAGTGTGTGTGAGTGTGTGTGTGTGTGTGTGAGAGTGTGTGTGTGTGAGTGTGTGTGTGTGTGTGTGTGTGTGAGTGTGTGTGTGTGTGTGTGTGTGAGTGTGTGTGTGTGTGTGTGTATGTGTGTGTGTGTGTGAATTGGTGGGGGGGGGGAGTATGAAAAAAAATGCTGTGAACAGTCTCTGCATCTCCACTTATTTGAAAGTTTTTAAGTTCAATTCCTTCATTCAAGTACAATGAGTACTTGAGAATGTTCATTCTGCGTCGTCGTTGTGCCAGGACACGACCACAGAGATCGCTGAGTAACTGTTAAGTTCCCTCCAGCAAGTCCACGCACTTTCATCTCTGCTTGTTAACAGTGCACATTGCAGACCGTTTCATCAAATCGCTATCAAATATGATTTGATACTCTTTTTTAATATTATTTTTTTAGCAGGGTTGGGGGATTTTCTTAAAGGGAAGAAACCGGGGGGGGGGGGGGGGGAGACAAAATAAAAAAAGCTACCGTTTTGGCACAATTGGATCAAATCCATACAAAATCAAACCTGCCTGGGTTTTTTTTTCTTTTAAGTCACGATCGGTTCCAGTTTGATGAAACCGTGGCCAAAAGCTAAAGAAAAGACTACTGCACATTGTAAACTCAGGTGTATAGTTTGCTCGCAC